CACTTGTAAACAGATAAAACCAAGTCAAACTCCTTGCGTTGTACTGTTCACGAATGGACACGAGGTGGCGCTAGTTGTCAATCTGACAAAACCATGACGGCTCAACAGCTTTTTGCTTAATGGTCAGGGTCACAAAAGATGTCAGTGATGAGTTCAGTTAAAATTTTAGGATAAATTAATTCAATATCAAATTTGTAATTGTGAGGTGAAACACAAGAACAGTCTGAATTCACCAAAAACTAGGAAATCTCGACCCCTTCTTCCTCTTGTAATGGATATTATCTGGTTCTCTGATTGATATGCTGGTCTGGGGCCTCAGCAGCTGGCTTTAGTTTTTGTTTAGAGTGCTGAAAAGGTCTGGAGAACATATAGAAAAGGCTATTGTAAATACAATCTGATTAGTCCTAGTTTAATGTCAATGTTGTGGAAATTGTTCTCAGCTGAACACAGACACAACGCACAAGCATTGCTTTTTTCGTAAAGGGATGCTATATTCATGTAAATATTTCTCATGTAGACCATTTTTATATTGACTTTTCCTAAAAGGATATAGGCTATCACAAAACAAACAACTTTTTATTCAACCTCTCCAAACCTCCTAATCTGTTCTCTCCTTTTTCTTTAGCTTTCTCTCCTTTATTGGTCTTTCTCAATAACAACTGACAGGTTGTGAATAGTAGCCGCACACAGAGCAAAGCCTTTGACATGCTCACAAAGGCTGCACTGAAGTAGCAGAGCACATGGTGAATACTTTTCGGTATCCTCCCTTCCTCAGAGCACTGTCAGCATATTCCATGGAAATGTTTTTATATGTGTGCGTGTGTTCTCAGATGTTGCCTGGGTGGTTATTATCTGTTACATTATCTTAGTATGGGAGTGAGGAGGAATACATTAGAGCAAGTCTGTGATATAAGGGCTGTTTTTCCTGCTTATTAAGACAGAGAAATCACACACACATGATGTACATACACACACCCTATATATTGAAAACTATTCATTTTAAGGTTCAGCCATGATTCATTTTTATTTTTGAATGCACGTTTCGGGAACAGGCTAAGCAAAAAGGCACCTGTATCTAGGTCTGATCATTTTAGGTCTGATGAACATTCTCATTTACTCACCATTATGCCAGACATAACTTAATGGAAACATTACCAAAATGTTCTTGGAATACATTTTTATTAGCTGGGATGTCTTTGAAGAACTGTTTTTGTCCATACAATGAAAGTCAATAGGATTCAAAGAACATTGGTCCATGTTGAATTTAATTGCCTGGAGAAAGAAAAGACTGAAATATCTTCTTTTGTGTTCAACAGTAGAAAGGAAGTCATACAGTTTTGGAGGGTGAGTAAATTATGACAGAATTTTCCTCTTTGGGTGAACTACTTCTTTAATTATGGATTTGCTATACAGCATGGCTCACTAGCAAAACAGAGGATTGGCCAAAAATGATTACGTGAAAACAGCAGCCAGCTAAACCAGAACTAAGCCAGTATATGCTGTGACACGTTAAGATTTATAACAATCACTATCAGAATGCAGATCAGCTGGTTATGATGATCTCCTTTTGTTGATCTGAGTTGATTGTAGGAGCCTCACCCTCTTGATTTTTAAAGGGGTCATATGATGCTTTTTTGGTGTAACAGAATATGTTGACATGCTTTAATGTTCAAAAAACATTATTTTTCAAATACTGTACATTATTGTAGGTCCTCTATGCCCCGCCTCAGGAAAACTTGAAATCGCATCATATGACCCCTTTAATGAAATGTGTATGAAAGTGCAACAATGTGTTTTGACAATAAAGGATTTGTGGATTGTTATCTATCGTCTTCTTTTTGATACCAAAAATATCTGCTCTTCTGCAAATCTTCACTTCCTCTTTTCCTTCATCCTGGCCCTCGTTCACCTTCCCTCAACCCCTTTCCTTCCATACTCCTTTCCTCCTACACTTTCCAACTGCTCCCACCTCTCTTTCTCGCTGGTGTTCCCATGGTATTGTGATCGTAAGGTCAGGGACTTGGGCTGCTCTGTGTTAATAAAGCCAGTTGGAAAGAATCCCAGAGCCTGTTCAGAAAATAGAGGAGCTACTGCAAATAAGCAAAGTACAGAGACACACTCTCAGACTCTTAAAGGGCCTCACACACACACACAACCACAAGCATGGGTTTCAGCCACAAGGTATACGTTCAAAATGGCAAATTCAAGACATTGCTTGTATTCAAAACAGACAGAAGTAATAAAGGCATGCATGCTAAGACCTGCGTATAAAAATATGTCACAGGTAAGAGCAGCAATAACAGTCATCCATGCACTGACCTGCAGTTCTGCTCTTTTTACACCCATAATAATTTCAGTCTTAGCTAGGGAATTCTTTTGCATTAACATAGGACAAGGTAAGTCAGTACAAATTCGTATTGTATCACATAAAATCCACATAAAGCATGCAATTTTTGACTGCTTTTGTGTTTACCTATATGAGCAAATAAAAGAGAGAGATTTCACAGCCAGACTGTTGGATCAGAAATCAGCATTTATTCACCATTATGTTTCTGTCTCTATGTCTTATCCTGTAAATCTATTGTAATGTGTACAGCAGCAGCAGTAGCAAACATTCACTTAACATCTAGTACAGAATCTGACAAAATAAAGCCCAATAAAAACCAACACGTGGGCAAAAATGTCTCCTGGTGCAGACATGAACAAGTGCTGTAGAGGCACATGACACAGGGTTAACGTGTAGTCAAAGGCATTAATGATTCACTTTTATTGATAAGGCAGCAAAGCTATAATATTCCTCACAGAGATGCAGCTGTTTTCCCTTCAGTCTAAAAACATGATGCATTTTTATGGTAAAAGTCTTTGTCAGGAATGTAATGTATTTGTGAAATAAGTCATGTCAATAACGTAAGAACATCACATTTTCAGTTGAAGCTAAAATCCAGTAATAACCCAAGTCTGTATTTTTCACAAACTGAAAATAGCGTTAATATTAAACAACATAAATGATCACAGTATTTTGCTGTGGTGGAGCAGAAAAGTATTTTATGCTTATTAACATGCGTTTTTTAGCAATGCATCTGCCTATTTATACTTACACATACCCATCTATATTTACCAAATTGTTTATTGTTGGTCTGAACTTTGAAATACATTGTGCTTTTATTTACTGTTTTGTTGTTGTTGTTGTTTTGTTGCTTCAGTGATTCAAACCATAAGATCCTCAGTAACCCTGATCACCCTTAATTAAATACAATGGCTTATATGAGCTATATATGTTGTCCTCAACTAATGATTATTTTTTTAAATGTGAAGATATTTTCATATTTATCATTGTCTATTGCCTCTTTCAAATCATTTGAGCAGTAAAGTGGCTATGAGAACTTTTAGGTCACAAATTTCTGGTTTATGTAGTCTAAGAAAATTCAAAATAAACACTAAGAGTTATGATTAGTGATAAAATCTATTTATTCTATGTCTAACATTTAGATCCCTGTTCAGTATGATAATATTTAGTGTAATGAAATTAGTTATTATTCTTACAAAAATAAGTACATAGCCAAACGGAAAGGTATACCATATGATTTAATCTGTCTGTGCATTTAATCTGCTTTTAGATCAGATGTATATCAAAAATGAAATTAAGTGCACAGAACTGTGATTTTGGATATAGATTCAGCTTTAGAATGAATTCACAATGTAAGGATGAAACTGTAAGACAATTCACTTGTAAGAACAAAGAAAAATAAATAAGGAACCAAGAATCTTAATACTCTCAGAAACACTTGCTACTTAAAATAAAGCTTTTGAGAAGAGGAAAAAATTAGAATGTTTCAAATCTCAAATAGTTATTTTTTTTTTTAAATATGAGAACTGATGAGTGTAAAATAAATCAATACAGTAGATTTTGTTATTGTTGTTACAGTGCAAAGGTAGCATCATATAACGTTGATTGCAATATGACCGTTTCTGCTAATGTTTGCCCTTTTAAGCTCTCCTTGTTGATGGTTTGATACACTTTGTGGTAAGTTAATAAAAAAGGTACAAGTTATTTATTTGAAATTATAATCTGACAAAATAATACTAATACTAATAGGTCTTAATCTGTGAACAGGAAGCACAGAGCATTATTAACCCATGCGGGGTGAGCTACATGTGGGATACCAAGATAACACAAACCCTTCCTTAAGGCCCACCACTCAAGTCAGAGAAAGAAAAAACCACTGCTGCCAAAGAAAAGTGATCATCTGTCAAAGCCTGAGGGATTGCAGACACCTCAACAACAACCAAACACAGTAAAAAAAAAAAAAAAAAAAAAAGGGCATTTTA